ATGCTAAATATTGACATAATGTTTAATCATACTGCCTTTCTCTGTTTTCCATCATTAAAGAGAGTTGCTGTTTTAACATATCAGTTTAATCATTTTACCTTGACTGGGATATAATGAACACAAGATTGCACAGTACACTTTTTAAATATATATAATATTGAAAAGAATATTATATTTTCTCTGAATGCCTTTTAAATGTTAATATGTTTTGAGTTCAATTTAGCCTCTGCAATTTGCATGCTCATTGAAAAAATACTGGAAAAAGCAGAAAAAAAGGAGAAAACCAAGAATTCCACATCATCTGTGCCCCACAATAATTACTATTAACATTGAGACACAGGTTATTCATAAATTGGGATAGAAAAAAATACCATAATTTTATTAAAATTCTGTATGTCCCTTAACAACCAACTATAGTAGCAAGAATGAATGAGATGAAGTTGCTAAAGCTTAAAAATGCAATACATCAAATAAAAATAGTCACTGGCCAGGTTTGTTAGCTACTTTTCTACTTCTGTACTGAATAATCAAAGATAAAGAAAAGCTTATTTTAGTGTATGTTGCTCCAGGTTTATGTGTCCATAATGACAGGAAGCAGGAAGCTGAAGGATTTCACAGTAACCTCACAAAGATGCAAATGGTGAACTACAAGCTGGATGGGTCTATAAACACTCAAAGCCTGCCCTGATGGCCATTCCCTCCAGCAAAGCTCCATTCACCATAGTCCTCCCAAACATGCAACTCACCAAGAGCCAAGTTGTTTAAATGCATGCACCTATGTGGTTCGGCTTTTTCATTTAAACCACAATAGTTACAGTAGCAGATTCAATACTATACATTAAACAATAATAATATCAGATCAAATGAAGATCACAAAGCATAGTGAAACCAGAGATACCTGTTATTTTATCAAATCAATACAAATCATACAGGAAGGGGGAGAAAAGAGAAGGGGGCTGAGACAAGTTCTCTCTGTATAGCTCTAGCTGGAATCCACTGTGTATACCAGGTTAGCCTTCAAAATTGTGATGTACAGCTGGCCCCCCATTCATTCATCTGCACCTGGTAGTGGGGTTCTGTGTACTAGTAAGGTCATCCAGAGCAACCAAACACACAGTAAATACGCACGCACATAGTTATAGTGACATGTGATATAGACATAGGATTTACTAGACTAGTGAATCTCAGTCAGCTGTCTATAAGCTGGGGTCCCAGGAAAACCAATGCTAGAGTAGCAAGAATCAGAAGTTGGGAATGTAAGAACTCGTAGTCAAGAACAGAGACTGTGCCTGCTTCCCAATCAGCTGGATAGAGTGAATTCCCTCTCTCTCTCCTTACTCAGAGTGGGGGAAGCCATGTTGAAGAGAACCAGCTGGCTTCCTCAGTCTATGAATTCAAATGTTGACCGATATCCCCTGGAAACGCGCTCAATAACACTCCAGAAATAATGTCTAATTTGGGAACCCCATGTCCCCATCAAGTTGATACATAAAATAAACCAAGCCCTGAAGTAGCATGCTCCTGTGCCCAGAATTTAATTTAGAAAATGGGCTGAGACATCCAGCTTGAACCCTCATAGCATAATGTCATACTTAACCCTGCCACAGTAAGCACACACCAAATTCACAAAATAACTGAAGAAACTTCTTTCAGCCTTTAGCAAAGTAGCACATATCACAAGGCTGAAGTCCATGTGGCCCACCCTGGAAGCCGTTTCCAGTACATAGCATGTAAAAATAAAGACAAGCCAGGGACTGGCCCTCACTGGACACAATAAACAACAGGAATATAAGGCACACACACACACACACACTTGTATGTGTGTTGATACTTTTGTCAAAACTAATAGATGAATCTTAAAAGCAATTGTTGCTCAAGGATGTAAAGGAAAATATAGAGAAATGTTAGAACAGATGAGGAGCCCCAGCAGAGATTGTTGTAAATGAACAAATGTAACTTCTGGTGTTGAAAAATGAAATATCTGGAGTAAAGCACTCCTTGTCTAGATTTAGAGAAGACCAGAAGATGCTGTGAAAGACAAAGTGGATTAGTTTGGAAAAATAGCAAAAGAAACCAGGGGAACTGAAGCCCAGAAGAAAAACAGACTAAACAGATTAAATTCTTTAAAAAATTTTACTCAATGAAATGTGGGATGATATCAAGTTATCAAGTAGCCTCATACACATGAAGTTGGAATTTAAGCATGGTCACAGAAAGGGGAGAGAGAGAGACAGAGAGAGAGACAGAGAGACAGAGAGAGACAGAGACATAGAGAGAGACAGAGACAGAGATACAGAGACACAAAGACAGACAGAGATTTAAATAATGACAAAATTTCCCCAAATCCCAAATGCACAGAATCAAACTTAACAGCCTAAGAATGCACACAAAGAAAAACCCACACATAGACATATGGCACTCAAATTGCTGAAAACCAAAAATAAAGAAACTATGGCACCTGATATTACATACAAAATTATTTTACATGTGATACATATTTATAATGTGTGTAGCATGTTACATGCATCAATTATACATAAATATTTGAGTAGTTGTTAATTTACTTAAAAATAAATGAAAGTTAATATAATAATTATCATGGAGTTGGTAGGATTCATGAAAGTAAAATATATAACAATAATTAGTGAAGAATGGAAGAATATAAAAGGGGTATATAGCTGTGGAATTCTTACACAAATAAACCATTCATTACAGGAGATTAAATGTTGATTCAAATGAGACTGTAAAAAAATTATAGGCTCATGTTATAATCCCTAGGATGATTACAAATAAACTATTATTATAGTGGATAAAACAACGGAACCCCCTACCCCAAGGTGCCTAGGTTAACATCTTCAGAACCTATGAATGTGCCTTCTTCCATGAAAACGTGATTACATAAATAATCCTGGGGTCAGAGTTTATCAGACACAGTAGATTTGACAACTGAAAGAGGGCACTGGGAAGATCAGAGATATGACCGTGGAGACAGAGGTCTGGGTCATGTCATTACTAGTTTTGAAGATAGAAAGCAGGATGAGCCAAGGAATATGGTTCATCAAATTTCTCCATGTCAAGAAGCTGAGAAAAGCATGTTGAGATTTCCTTGCAAAGTCTCAAGAGAAAGCCAGCCTCTTGTCACTGACGGTATGTTGTAATTCCAGAAGATGTGCTTCACAAAACTGACCCTCCGGAGCCTTAACTAATAAGTCAACACTGTTTTAAGCTACAGAGAACAAATAGTAAAACTAAGTATCTATGAACTTCAAAGTCAGGATCATATAGGTGGCATCACTTGGCAACAACATCTTCATCTGGAAATCAATTTGTTCAGGCTAGAAACTCTACAGATTCTTAAAACCAGTCCACCATACTCCAACACTGCTGCTGAGTCAAGAGGAAATCACAAGACGGACTACAAGATAGTTCAGAAGGAAGGAGCAGAGACTGAAGCAGCACCTAAAGGAGAAATTTTAGCTCAGAATATATGAGGTGGGGCATAAATAAGAAAATGGCAATAAATACCTACCTTAAACCAATGGTAAGCAGAAAGAAAAACTCAATAACCAGAGAAAATTAACAATGCCAAAGATCCTTTTCTTGTAGATGGTAAAATTGACTGACTCTTAATAAGACTGATAACAGTGGAAAGAAACAAAGTGATGGGGGGATAATGAATAAAGATGATGCCAAGACTGGGGACCCCAGCTCAATCCTTTAGAACTCACATGGTGTAAGGAAGGAACCAACTCCCACTAGCTGTCCAATGACCTCTACAAGCATTCTGTGGTACACCAGCCCACCACACACACCAACACATTTTAAAGATATTTTATGTCATATTTGTGTTTTACATCACCCCCGAGGAGCTATAGAGGTTGTTAGTATCTTTCATGGGAAGGAGAGGTCATGTTTCTTTAAGGGTATGACCCCTGGTAGGTTGACCACACTCCTGTGGATGACCCTACACCCGTGAGTGTGTATGTCACACAAATTCAGCTTTGTGAGTTTTTTTGAAATGAAAGACTAGAAAGTGTGGGGAGGCAGGGGTGGATTTGGGAGGAGTTGGGGGACAGTGGGAGTGATCAAAATACATTGCATGGAATTCTCAAGAATAAACTATTTTATTAAAAATAATAAAATTTTCAACACAGACTGAACTGATAATAGTTTCTAACAATGGTAAACATAAATTTACTTCATGACCCAGCATTGTATTTCTAGCTATTTATCTAAGAAATTAAACCATCTTCCTACACAAAACATCTATAATAGCAATGTCAACTTCATCCATAATAGATAACTATTAAAAATAATCAAAAAGTCAATCAAGAAGAGAACACTTTTTTCATAATAGAATGCTACTTAACAGTAAAAAATGAACAGATGACTTGAGTACACAATAAGTTGAGAACTCAAAAACAAACTTATGAAAACCAGAAGCCAACAAATTCATACTACGTGCCTATTTGTATAAAGTTCAAAAACAGGCAAAAAGTAATCCATACTATTAACCATTCAGAGTGTCAAAGGGAACCAAAGTGTGCATTATGAAAAACTCAGGGCCCCGCTCTCCCACTGTACATAAAATATGCCACCACTTTTAGAAACCTACATATCCGAAAAGCAAATCAGACCTAGGCAGGAAAAAGAGATGAGGCAGGCTGCTGTCATCTCATAAAACAATATGTCCCATGCACAATAGTAAGACTCTGAAAAAGGAATCAAGGTGGGCAGGCTATTTAGCATGAAGGAATGCTTGATCACCCACAATATTCAAGCCATACATCCTTCATTCTGTTGGCTCATTAAAAAACAACAATACAATTTAATTTCTGTACCCCTATATTTAAACATATTTTCTTAGCATTTAGAACTATAGGTTAAAAGCACATAGTTAGTTAAATCAAATGTTTATCTCAGTATTTTTGATTTGTGCATTGATTTTAGTCCATTTGTGCTGCTAGGTAATTTACAAAGAGCAAAAATTTATTTCTCACAGTTTGGATGCTAGGATGTTCAAGTAGAGAGTGCTGGCAGATTCCATTGTCCTGTGGCAGCTACACCCTCCAGAGAGGTGGGGAAGACGGAGTTTGTGTCCTCATGTGGCTGAAGGAAAAAAAGACCATTGAGAAAGTCAAGACCTATGTCTTCAGTTCTCAACTTGTGGGTCATAACCCCTTTGGGGAGTCACATATCAAATATCCTTCATATCAGGTATTTACAATGCAATTAGTAACAGCAAAATTACAGTTATGAAGTAGCAACAAAATAATTTTATGGTTGGGAGTCACCACAGCATGAGGAACTGCACTGAAGAGTTGCAGCATTACAAAGGTTGAGAACTACTGCCCTATGTGAAGCCATTTTGAGGGCCTTCATCTCATTGGTTCTCCCAGCATAACCGTTTCTTGAAAACCCCAGATTATAACACTGACAAGACTTGAATTCTGAAGGAGACCCATTCAACTGTAACAGCACTTGAATATAAGTAGTCTTGGTTGTTGTCCAACTGAAAGTCATTGGCCTTATTTTTGAGATCTAGGATGATGTACCATATTCACAGAAATGCCATAGGAGTGATAAAACAATGTCAGTATGGTAGTTAGAAATAGCATACTGTATCTGGGTGTTTAACAAGCTTTCTCCCATATCAGTTTCCTCATCAGCCAAAGACACAGCCTTAAGATGATCTCTACGTCCCTTTAAGTTTCCATGGGAGTCCTTGAATCTACAGGCATTCATTCAGCTCATCCATCAACACACATATTGAATCCTCAGCGAAAGATTGACCGACCATCCAAAGTGAATAAAACCTTTTTCCTCACTGTTAAGGAAAGTATGGTCTTGTAGCAAAAGTGGTAAAATAGAAAATGCTTGAATAGTTGTAAATAATATGCATAGGGCATGTAAAAACAAAGGGAAACATGCTGGTCAGTGGCCCCATTTTATGGATGAGCGGCAAACAAGCTTGGGACATGGTTAGACACTGGAAAGACAAGATTGTGGTCCAATTCTTCTAACTTCTGGCTCTAATGAGCCCTGAGAGCTAATTAGACCCAGTGACTCATGCATGCCCTTGACATTCACTGCAATATGCCACACCTGAATGCACTTGCAGAGGTAACCAAGTTTATAGAAGCCAATTATTGATCAGAACGAGATTTGCACCATTTCTTATGGATGGACATGCCAGCAGCCGTGCTAGTTGACAAAACACCTTCACACTAAAGGTCCAGAGAGAAAGTCATTATGGAAAAAGATTAATGTTGATTTTCCTGGGTTTACCTGGGTTTCACATCTGAAGCTTAACTCTTCATTAACACAGCTGATTAAGCTGATTCCCCCATTATAACTAGTCACTGGTCAGATTGCTTAATTAGACTAATTCATCCCTGTCATTCAGACACACATCTCTAGATGTTCTTACACACACACACACACACACAGAGAGGGGGGGCAGATTGTGTGTGTTTTGGTTTAGATAGCTTTGGTCCCCCGTCAGAAATATCTGTTAGAAGACTTGGGGAGTAGAGGAATGTGGAGATTTAATTCTAACTTGGTGCATACACTCTCAGTAAAGACATACAATGCATAATATCCCATCAAATAGCAACTCTCACATTAAGCAGAACGAGTGAAGATTCCTCGGAGCCTTACACACACTCAAGTCAGGTTCTGCTACTAAAGAAGCTCAGAAGTACTATGACAAATTTACAAACTGGATTTTCAGAGCTTCTAGGATGTTCAAATTGTGTATAAAGTGTTATGGACTGCAGTCATTTGTGTAGACAGCAATGGGTTGACTCTTTGCTAAGACTCTCTTGTATCTAGGTCACATCATTGACCAATCACGGGATTTATAACCACAGCTCTTCACTGGATGACACTTGGTATCCATGACCCCACTAACTGCCCCCATGATCACAGCTGGTGACAACTCTCCAATGGATGACATCAGGTGTCTATTGCACCACTCCCTGCTTCCCATACTCACATCAGATGAAGCTCACCAACTATGATCTCTTCTGGAGCAAAGGTTGGTAAAGGTTGGTGCCATGGACCAAACCTAGTTGTGAGCACGTTTTATAAATGAATTTTAATTGTATCTTAACCAGACCCTTTGTATTACTTACTGTCACTAGGATACAACTGCAAGTTGAGGAAAGAGAGATTATATGACCTATGAGGGGTAAAATAAGTACTTCTGTGCTGTGTGACTGTACACACACACACACACACACACACACACACAGAGAGAGACAGAGAGAAGTAGAGGTCACATGGAAATCCTATCTCAGTGCCATTCACTACCAATAGTCAGAGTGATAGCTGTGTTATTCAGCTATGATAAATATATACATATCACTGAAGCCAGAAAGATTTATTTTGTCCCATCATTGCATCCATAATAAACAGTCCTCACTTACTTTGGAGCTTGCGGTGTTACTATACTGTATGTCATGAAAGAGAATTTTTAGAGTTGGCCAAAGTCTGGCAAATGGTCACAAGCTGTCTCTAGTGGTTTGGCTCTTTATGCCATTTTTTAAAAATAAGTGAGCACTTTTCTCTTCCAATTAAAGTTTCAGACCAAAGAGAACAATGAAAAAAGACCATGCTTACACAAGCTATCCACAGTGCCTCACACAGAGCTCCGGATCCACGGTCATTGAGCAAAGGCATTGAATTTCTCCAACTATTGACATCTGTACTGGCTGGTGGATGACCAGTCAGCCGAGTGGCCTTGGAGAGTGAATTATGCTTGGAAATAGCTGTAGGTTATGTGAAGAACATCCATCCATTCATTAGGTTGTAATTAACCCTACAGGGTCCCACTGTGGTGTTACATTGAATAAAAACAGAGACAAGATAAAAAGCCCTTTCATATTGACACAAACTTGAATAGGCCAGCTATTAACTACCAATGTTGAGCTACATTTTGTCAAGATAATTCATGCCTCACTTTGAGGTGACTCTAATTCCCGGGATGTTCCCCCCCCTTATTACTTAGCTTGTAACCCACCTAAGGGCAACAAGGTGCCCTGCGGTAGAAAAGCAGAGTCATCATTTTTCTTATTTTTAAATTTAAAATGAAGCAGACAGATCCTGTGCCGACTGATCCTGATCAAAAGCAACAGTCTTTCTTGTCCCATATTTCTCATTGCTCTTTAAATGGGAAAGAATCCTAATTATGACCATGGAGACAAGATATTTGTACATTTTATGCCCTGGAAGGACATTTTTATTGTAATAATATTTTGGAATTATTAGTTATTATTTTCAATAAATATTATTGTTCACTAATGTTAAATTCATTGGAACAATCATACTCCTTTTACAAAAGACAGTAATGAAAGTACTCTGAATTATTCTGACCACAATTTTAGGACTAGAAATAGACACAGTTTTCATCTCAACTATTACTGTAGTTTGGACCAAATTGGCTAAAGATACAGCTTAAATGGGAAATGTCCCATAAAAGGCTTGGCCACTGACCCGAGGTGCTACTAAGAGATCATGGGGCCCCCTAAGGAGTGGGACCTAGTGGGAAGAAGTTTCTAGAAAGACTTCAAACTGTCTAGAAAAGTCATTCCCATCTACTATCGTTATTGCATGATTCAAATGGTGCATTTTCTATGTGGTTTGTCAGCTATGTCAAGCATTGGAAGCAGCAAGCAAGAACACAGAGATGAGAAGGCAGCCACCTGACAGCCTAATTTTATAATACAGAGTTTGGAAATAGTTGTGTGAGAATATCTCACTATAGTTATCTATTCTTACAGAAATACTTGGAGCTCCAGATAGTATAGGTTGACATAATTTAAGTGTAGGAAATTTCAAGTCCATGGTTTACAAAGGTAAAAATCACACACACACAGAGAGAGAGAGAGAGAGAGAGAGAGAGAGAGAGAGAGAGAGAGAGAGAGAGAGAGAGAGAGAGAGAGAGAGAGAGAGAGAGAATGTAAGCAATTTCTCTATGGGTTGCATGGTCAATGGCAATGGCTGACCATCCTGGGTTGACACACTAAGTCTGAACTGGAAAAGGGGAAGTATTGGTGCCAATGATGTAGAGCCAATAAAATGCCCATAATCTTCCTGGTAAGATGATGTCAGTGGTTCTAGCAGGACCATAGAGGAGATTAGTTGTTGATGTTCCTCGTGATGAAACATTAACTCTGCTCTGGAGACAGAGCATCTATGACTTATTCCATGGGGGGCATGGAATAATGTTAGGTCTCAAACCCAGGACAAACAGCTGAGAAGCCTATGAACTTATCAAAGTAGGCTCTGATTGCTAGGTTCTCCTAGGACCCCTTAGTCCCCTCCTGTCCCTGGCTTGCATACCCCCAACTACCTACCTTGAATTCTTCAACCCAGTGTCTTGGCAGCCCCTCTGGCCCCAATATGACTCAGCCATATTGGACACACCATTCTCTTGACCCAGGCCACAACTTGATGGGTGGCTCCTCTCCCTCCCCCAACCCCTCCTCACATGGCCCAGCTCGGTCTGGCCACGTTCACTCTGCACCCTTCCAGATGCTCTGACTGTGCTCTCCTTTTTATCTACAATAAGCCATCTCCACCATACACAGAAGCAGCCATGTCCTCCTTTCCATTTCATGTTTCATTCAGATGAGTACTAGAACCTAGGTCTATGGCTCTTTCCTGTAAACAGAACTAGGGAGTGAATATTTTAGCATGAAGAGAGAAAGCCAAACAAATATCAGTGCTCAGAATATTCAACCATGCCAGAGTTGCCAGAATTCCCTCTGAGAGTCTCACATCCTGAGAAACCCATGGCATACCAAGATGGCTACTGTCCTTACAAGGGATGCTAGAGTGCTCCCTACATATGGACTGACTAGATTTGGAACTGGAGAGACAGACCTGCTGATTTATCAACTTCCAGGGTGGTAGCTTATGGTTGACTCTAAATTTCAGAGTGTTCAGTCCATGGTTGCTTAGTCCTATTGCCTTGGGCTTGTAGTGAAACAGTACCTCATAGTGGGAGCACATGGCCCATCAGGACTGTTCTTTTTATAGAGGCCAAGAAGAGATGTTTAAAAAAATAGGCAACTAACCATTGGACCAAGCTCCTGGAGTACAAT